TGTTATTGGATTACCCCTCTTGTCAAGCCCTTTGGATTATGTTCGCCGTTAATCGACCTACGCCTGTTTATCGGATTACTCTTGTGTCTTGCCCTCCATATACCTGTTGCCATTGTCTGACCCTCGCCTGTTTCTGACTATTCTATGAATAAAGCTTTGCAAATGGATCCGCACATCTCTCGCCCCTGTCGCCTCGTTACAGCTACAATGACAAACTAGCTTACATAACCTTTATTAACAAAAACGAATAAGACAAGGCATGGCATAGGATACATCACATGCTGTATATACCGACTAATAAATTACAGAATGTTTAACAAACACTGAGGAATCAAATAAATAAATAATAATAATAATAAAATAAATAAGGAAAGCCTCCATAGCGTAACGTGAGGTAAACAGCAAAGATAACAAGTTTTTCAAAACGAAAACAAAAAGAAAAGTAAAACTAAGCTGGCTGTCGCTGACAGGACTTGCATGTTTTTTTCCACAAGAATACCAACATGTTCACCTTCTCTGGTTTAAGAAGCGGTCTTTTACTTTAGTTTGTAAACCAAATCCTCCGTTGCTCTCCGTCCACGGCGCGCACCTCTCTTCACGTGATCAGTGAAATCTGACTCCTGCTACAATGTGCCACGGCTCTGCAGAACGCGCTGTATGAAGCAGATGCTTTGGAGCAGCTTAGACCATGCACTCGCACAAATGCGACCACGTCAAATTTTAACTCGCACATTCTCAAAAATTATAATGGGCCTCCTAATAATAATAATAATATTATTAATATTATATAATTATTATTATTATAATTTAATACATTAATTTGTATTACATTTACATTAACTTTGTATTACATTTACATTAACTTGACTATCGACAAAGACATCTGCTATCGTCGATATCTCTGACTATCGTCAATACACAATACTATCATCTATCGGCACGACACTAATAGTAACAATATCAACAATTCTAACTAAAAATGTAACTGATGCTCATATGCCACTGAATGATATAGGCATTATCTCAATAATATACAGAGGGTGACCTTTAAAATGTTTGAATTGTTGACAGACAATCTTTAAAAACAGGGTGACAACTAATCTATGTCATCCCTGTTACCCACGTCAAAACCTGCTACCCTGAAAAGAAACAGGACTGACAGTAACAGGTTTGATGATTTCAAACTAATTTGCTAATTGCTAGCTAATACTCAAGTTCAGAAAAGCACGTTGTACACTTTGAAAGGATTTTACTTGTAGATATTGATTATATTAAATGTAATAAATAATAGTTTAAATTTACATTTTAAAAATGTTAAGAGTATTGACACTGCATGATGTCCACTCTTCAGTCAAGCTTCATAAATCATCAAAAATATAACATTATAGAGTGAGAGAAACATGCTTGTGTTTTAAGTGTTGGAATCCTGGTTGAGAGATGATGTAACCTCCTAGAAGCGATGTCACTTGAATGTACATTATTTTACAAGGTTTTTTTGGTGAGAGTAACAGGGCTGACATGAAATCAGAGGACACCAATAAAATTATTTATATTTTATAGAATAAATTCATGCTTATGCCAAAAACATTGCTTAACAACAAGACTATATTTGGAACAATATGCAAATGTGATTTTTATATCATTTTGCCTTTATTTTGCAAATTAAAAGTTCTGCTGAAAAAGAAAAGTCATAGTGAGGGACAGGCCAAAAACCTTACCCTTATCAGCATAAATGCTATTTAAATTATTTAAAAGAATATTTAATTGACTTTATGCAATATTGATGAAAGAATACATAGTATTGTTATGTTTTTAAATTGCAAATTTATTTGCTGTTATATTAAATCGATGTTTGATTATTTCTTAGGGACGCAAAAGGCACCGATTTCGTGGAATGACCCCCACACAATTTTGTACTCGTTTTCATACAATGTACGAATGTGTCAATAATTTGTTTGCTATTTAGAATTGACATTCTTAGTCACTGAGTTTTGATTGGCTGCTGAGTCATATTAGAGGATATGCCAGGACATCCAACAAAGATGACTCATACCAATTTACAACTATATGGTTACAGCATTATTATAGATTTTCGTTCGCAAATATTACATAAACATCTTTGTGCAAATAAGGCTTAACCAGAATATGGACCTTACCACAAAATGATGTGCATGTAAACATGGTCCAAATTGTGCTTAACTTCTGTAGTTCAAACTGACAGCATAATCATAAATAATAATCAATACTTACGGGTGCTTTTTTATCAATGGGCTTGATGACAAACTTCTTATCGTTGAAAGAAATGTTTCGGATCTCACTCCATGGGAACCCAATCTTTGGTGTGAGCCTTAAAGAAAAACAAGAGAGAGATGAACACGTTTGAAAATGTATGTACATTTTATTAACATTATTCAGAAAATAATGTCAAAAACAGCCAGCAGTGGGCAGCAGAGGAAAACACTTAGTCCATCTGCTGAGAGACAATCAAATCAGCTGACCTATTAGAATCTAATATTAAAGTAATTTTTGTGGAGTTAACTGACATGCATTGACCTGGGCAGGGGCAATATGACCCCACAACTAAATAATATCCCAATTATGAAATGGTCCCACACTGTAAACAGGAATCAAGGCTATATTTCCCTTTACCCAGGGGCAAAAGGCCAAAACAACACATGATGTGACTCACCCTGTTCTAATGTCTGCCCTATAAGGCAGGGAATGGATGGGTGCTGAAGCAGGAGGGAGTATAACTCTAATAATACAAATAATACTCACAAGATAACGTATTTACCATATGTCATGCATTGTGTGTCAATTATTGCTTGGATGTAAATAAAAGCCTAAATTTATAACCCTTTTAGATCTTTTAAGTTTTGGTTGTCTGAACTTTCAGTGAAGGGAGAAACCTCTCAGGATTCATTAAAAATCTATTAATTAGTATCTTATGGGTTTGAAACAAAAAGAGGGTGAGTAAATTATGACGATTTCAATTTTTAAATGAACTACCCCTTTAATAAATTCTTCCAAAGAATGTACTGGAATTAGCAATCAAACGTTTCTGAAACTCCAATGTCTATGCTAACATCCTAAACCATAAAATGGCCATAGAAATGATAATTTCAACTACAGTTAAAAAAAACATGCAAACAAACAAACAATAAATAAAGCTCATGTTTCATCTATTAAACCATTTAAAAAAAAGTAATAATTGAAAAAAATTTATTTTAGGAATAAAACTGATCCAAAGTGACAGTATATACTTCTATAATGTTACAAAAAAATTCTACTACAATTAAATGCTATTCTTTTAAATTCATCAAAGCAACCCTGAATAAAATGCATCACGATTTCCACAAAAATATGAAGCAGCATCTGTTTTTAACATTGATAACTATAAGAAATGTTTCATGAGCAGCAAATCAGCTGAAAATTCAGCTTTCCCTCACAATAATAAATCATATTTTAAACTATATTCCCATAAAAAAAGTTATTTTGGAATTGGAAAAATACTTTACAATACAATATACTGTTTTTGCTGTGTTCTTCGCCTTGGTGAGCAGAAAAAAATGATTTAAAAAACATTTAAAAAAATCTTACAGACCCCAAACCTTGGTACAGTAGAGTTTATACATAATGTTTATACATGAAATGTGAGACATTTCAGTGTAAGACTTACTTGTCTTCATGTTCATAAATGTTGAGACCAAGAGCATCCACTCCCAGCCAGAGCTCCGTTCCCTTCTTATTTTTGATCTCAAAGTAATTCACTCCATACATCTCCAGATCCTGAGCGATCTTCAGATACTCCATCATAGAATCCTCTCTGTAAACATACAATCATGGTGGGAATAGAAATACTGCTATTAAGCATTGTGAAGTTCACAGTGTGTGTAGTTGGGGACTGAAAACACCATTGCCCCAAGTGTGCTCTTGTATTATAATCTATGTGTACTCTTTGCATGTGTTTGTGTGTCAAGCCTTACCTCAGCATACCCCTGTGTTCCTCGTGCCATGTCTGTATTCTGTCTTCCCACTGTTCTTTAGTCAGTTTATGTTGCTCCAAAACTCTACATAATAATATTCACAACACACAACACATGATGAATCAGTCTGGTATCACTGTAGGGGGTCAGAAAATGGAATAAATAATTATTCATTGTTGTGTAAAAATATATTACACAAACTCTCATGGAATACATAAAAACCGGAGACCTACAAATTATTACCTGAAATTCCTGAAGGCAAGTTGTTTCATACTTCCAGATAAATCAATTCCGATCCACAAATTAATATAAAGAGATTTACAAAAATTAAACATCACGAGTGGATAATGCACATAAAAACCCTGCAATACTGAACAATGTGCCTTTGTATTTAATTTGGATGTATTTATTTGTGTTAAGCGCCATGCCTCATCGCTTCTAGGGCTGTGTGATTTGGGGGAAAATATCAAATTGCGATTTTTTTGACAGATATTGCGATTGCGATTTGATTTGCGATTTTAAATTTGCAAAGTTAAGCTTCAGCTCAATATTGTCAATAATGTGCAGCACAGTATGGGTATCATTACCCTGCTGAAAAAAACAATAGAAACTATCACAGAAATTCTTATAGTTTCCATTAAACCATTACAAAATTCCTTTTTGTTTCGGGCATTATTCCAGTAGGAATTACTGTTGTTCCATTGGTTGCCATCTGCCAGATTACATCCCACCAATAGAATCCATCAAATAGACACCATTATAGTTTACATTAAAACCAATACAATTCCCATTATAACCCTGAAATCCATTACATTTTTTATTGTGTTTTGGGAGGGGATCTATTGTTTTTTTTTTTTCAGCAGGCAAGATTATAATGGTATAACTACTTTTACAGAATTAACTTAATTACTGAATTTCACAGAAAATATTTGTTTATTTTTTATAAATAAAGAACTGTATTTCTTAAGTCAATTATTAAAGTATTACATATGTTACATAGGCTGATTTATTCATTTTAAGTATTTGGGATTTTAAGAACAAGTGGAAAATGTGCTGAATGTTTCATTTCATACAAGTGAAATTAGCAAAGCAGTTAGACTGAATATACATTCGTTTTAAACGCGGAGCCAGGCGCGAGTCGACAGGTTGCGCGCGTGCAGAAGCTTAAGTTGCATATGTTTTTCTTTAGTTTTAATATGCCTAACTATCCATCTGACCCAGTAGACGTCATAATCCCACTCTGTCTCTCTCCCGTCCCGCTTTCCCCTTTTTTTTTTTTAATGGTGGGTGTTTACGCGGTTGGCTAGAGCAGTGCTGATTAGGGAGAACGGAGGTGCGCTCACTCTATTGGCTAGTAAGACTGCAACTCAAGGCTGGCAGTCATGCATATGCTCTGGAACAGAGTAATATCGCGTCCATATCGCAGGCTTTGCGATTAGGAAATCGCAACGTCTCAAATCGCGATTTCGATTCAATTTCGATTAATCGCACAGCCCTAATCGCTTTATCTCTGTACTACTCGCACACTTACAGTGGATATTTAGAATTTCAACTAGGTCCGCTAATGCACCTATCATTAGGGGTGCGCCGATCCTATACTCAGTATCGCTCTCGAAGTAGTATTGGAGCCAGGACTGAGATACTGAGTATACGATCAGTGCATCCCTTAATCCTTGATCCAAATCCGATATTGTGCGTGCTACTCTGTGTTATTGTTATGTTAAGCCTCACAAAAGGCATAAAACAATATAAAGCTCCATAAAGTTTTCATGCACTATAGTCTTCTGAAGCCATTCGACAGCTTAATGTGAGGTACAGATATTTAAAGGGGTGGTTGACTGGGTTTTTTCTAGGCTTGATTGTGTTAGCTTTTAATATACGGTTTTATTCTGATTAAAGCTTTAATACAGTACGGCAACCGCACGCTTGTAGTACACACTAACTAACATTAAAAAAGTGAAATTCGCAATCAACCACCCCTTTAAGCCGTTAAAGGCACAATATGTAAGATTTTTTTATTTGTGTTATATATTTTGCTGACTTGTGTACTTACATTATCCCAAATGTTTCGAAGAATGTTCAAATCCAGAGAAATAAGCAATTTTAACTAGTGAGACGGAGCGTGTCCATAGTGTCATTGTGTCGCCTGCCAATGACGTCATAACCCCTCGATTTCCGGTTTTGTTTTGTTGAAAACATGGAAACACCAAAGACGCTTTAATATGTTGTGCATTTTAATAGACCGGTGACGACCACACAGAGTAGCATTATAACAGAACTTTCAAATGTATCTAGTATGATAAAACAGCGCTGCTTTTTTTCCCACATACGCGCGACCGGAAGAAGCGGAAGCAGTCGACTGTGGCATAATAAAAGCGCCGCTGCTTTCAAGCTCGTTCAGCGGCCTCGTTTCGCTTCGACGGCTTTCAGCCTCACCCTGCTTCATTCTACTACGTTAATAAATCATTAGCTCATCCATGAACATGATTTCTGCCCGAGTCCCGTCGGATTGCATCGGCTGTGGGGATGAAGATGACAACTCCCATGATTCCACACTCAGTCACGGCGTCATCAAACTACACCTTTGTCTATTTATTTATTTTGAATACGCGCCCTCTAACGGCGAAAATTAAATATTGTGCCTTTAAATTAAAGTTCACGCAAACTCTTCTTTCCGCTACAGCTGTCAGTAATTCTCCATTTAGCATTCAAATCTCAGTCGCATTCAGTTACGACAGTCAGCATGGTAAAACTCTCTCCAAGATCATTCAATGTTCCTACTGTTATACTTGATTTGTAGATAAAGATCTATGGTTTTGCATAAAATGACTATCTTGCTGAAGTTTATTGCTGTTTTTCAACCATGTTACTTGCTACTGGGTGTCTGTTCACAACATGGGAGTAGAAAAGTCTATGAATTGTTCTTCACACGCAGAGTAACTGAAATTGAAAACTGTTAAAAGGCTCAAACTGTCGCATAGATATAATACACTACTCATCAATATCGCTTCCATTTATGCTATGAACCTTTCACTGTGAAGAGCTACACGCTGTGACTCAATGTTGCTTTAAATCCATCATTCTGCGCACGGGATGTGCATAAGTGATTTGTGCCGCTCTGTATTAGAGCCTTTAATATTATAATACTTGATACTTGATTGATATTGCAGGAATCTTTGCTGCATTTTCAGCTGCTAAAAATGCTTTGGTTGACACATGGCCTAAGAGCATGCAAAAGATCTCCGAGAAGCCTCTTTATAAGCAATTTTGATAAAAACAAATGAGAAATAAGCTGCAGAAACTAGTCAACCTCAATAATGAACTAGTCAAGTATCTTGACCAATCCTTATCATATTCCACTGTTTAATCACAGTCTGTAAATCACAGTGCTTTGCAAGGTGATTCAACAAGAAGCCATTAAAGGCTTGCCAAGGCACAGGGACATTTAATTATAGCCTGCAATGACGTACTGGGTTCTGTTTTACCCTGTGTACTGAAACATGAGTATCAGAAGTAAAAAAAAAAAACACCCTGATATCCTCATCTTCTGAATCTGAAAGTAGCTTATATATATGTACCATTTTGAACTACAAATCTGTAATAAATAATATCAGAGAAAGAGAATATCATTATATCACCACATTACATTTGCAACAATCATCGAGCTACTGACAGGGGGGACATCCAACTTGTATATTACTGTGTTGAGAAGACAGGCTCACCTCTGTGGTAGCAGCCTGTCATTGGTGAGGTAACCGGGCTTGTGGATGTCTCTGTTGTAGTCAGCGTACTTGGCCTGAACAGAGTAAGATGCCAGTAGGACTGCTGTCTCCGGAGGGCAGTAAATCTCATCATTCAAAATGGCTTCCTTCACCTAGACAACACAAACAGTTTAATTATATAAGGCCTATAAGGCCCTTAATGGTTTAGCTCCTGCGTACCTAACTAGTCTATGATTACATTAAATGATTTTTCCGTACATTTCTGCCATATGTACATTAACTGACAATCACCACTGATAAGCTACCACTAAATATTGTAGAAACTTCATTTGCTGTAAAGTTGCTTTGCAACAATTTGTATCGTGAAAAGCGCTATACAAATAAACTTGAATTGAATTGAATAATGCCTAGAATAACCCCTAGGGGCTAAGGTCAGTGCAATGCATTTTTAACATGCTTTTTTGTTTAAAAAACATATATCATTATTTTACTTCCATATATACAGGATCACTGAAATTGTGGTAATATAATTTCGCACTGTTCTGTAAGAAAAAAAAAAGATTTACTCTCAATATACAGATTGCCCTTCCTTAAAATCAAGTATGCTAAATGGTATAATTCTGTTGTTTCAAGACTTAAAAATTACAATCACATTGTTTTTGGTTCAGCACCACTGAAATTACTCCACATCTATCCTAACACAATATATTATAGTCATTTTCTAAACTAAATAAATGCAATTTGATGGCAAGTGTGTGGAGACTAGGTTCCCCAATACCTGTAAGAAGAAGAGACGTTGTGTTATCTCTTGGATCAGCTCTTCAGAAACATCTTCTGGAAAAAACTTTGCCCGAAACTTGAACTGCAGAGGGTTTTCCTTTCTAACATCCTGCTGAGTCACCTGCCAAGTTTTCACAGAAACACATTAAAGTACTTTATTTGCCCTGTTGATTTAGGAAATTTGGCAAACACTTTTATCCAAAACGATGTACACTGCATGCAAGGTATACATTTCAGTTCGTGCATTTGCTGAGAAATGAGATTTGAACCCAAGTTCTTGACATTGCTAGCACCACACTCTACTCTTTGAGCTACTGGAATGCCATATAAAACCTAAATCAAGTATCCAAGCCACTACTTCAACGCGCGTTCACGAGAGTACCACAACATATGCGTGTAGTGTTGCTGACCCAGGAGCCGGAACACGGAAGAGAAGAAATAGTTGAATAAAGTCGCCATTTTTGTTTTCTTTGCACACAAAAAGTATTCCTGTAGCTTCATAAAATCAAGGTTGAACCACTGATGTCACATGGACTATTTTAACAATGTCCTTACTGCCTCTCTGGGTCTTGAACGTGGTAGTTGCACTGCTGTCTATGGAAGGTCAGAAAGCTCTTGGATTTCATACATTTTTTTTTATTTGTGTTCCGACGATGAATGAAGGTCTAACAGGTTTGGGATGACACAAGGGTAATTAATAGATTTTCATTTTTGGGTGAACTAACCCTTTAAGGCTGTTTTTGCAAGTTTCCATAGAGCAGTTTATAGAAAAGTTCAGGTTTTTACACAGACTTTTAAAGCAGGACATCTTTAACCACAGGCTAATTTCCCCCACTGTTTTTTTTTTTTTTTTTGCTGCTGTTGAACAGGAAGCCAGTTAAAACTGCACATCTGAGGTGTAGTGGAATTGTGGCTTAATAAGAACAGCAGTACTAGCAAGTAGGGGTGTGCGATATATAGGGTTGTGACGGTGAGGAAATTTTCCCACCGGTTAATCGACGTGTGACAACACCGGTAATACTGGTATCACCGCGGGGGCGTTCCCTCTTTTCCTCACTTTCCTTCGCTTTTAAATAGCTTGTAAAAGCGGCGTGCGCATTTTACTTTCACTTTCAAATAGTGGCAATTCGGAGTAAAGCAATTGTTCATTTTTAGTTCCTTTGAATTTTCCCTCTTTTCCTCACTTTCCTTCGCTTTTAAATAGCTTAAAAGCGCAGGACAGCGATGACTTTCACTTTCGAATTAGCGGCAGGTCGGCGTCAATTGCTTAAATGCAACAACAAAATACAATGTCATACTCACTTTAGCCTATATATAAAACATATAACTTTTATTAACAAAACAAATGCAAATACACCATGCTATAGGGCAGGCTATGCCTAATTTAAAATAACAAATAACTTACATAAAGTTTAAATGTACAAAACTGGAAACATGTAAACATGTATAATATATAACCAAATAAATAAGAAACGTAGAAAGTTTATTAGCAAAACGAGTAAGAAAGCTTGGAGGCACGGCATACACCTTGATGTAGGGGTGTGCGATATTGACAAAAATGTATATCTTGATATTTTCTAGGAGTTTATCGATAACGATAATTAGATGATATTTTCTAAAAGTGTGCATTATCTTTTGAGTCAAATCAAATTCTTACATTTAATCAGTAAATTAGAATAAGACATTTGGGCTGTTACTAGGGCTGCACGATTAATCAAATTTAAATCACAAAGGCGATAAATCGCGATTAGACAGAAGCTGTGATTGTCGTGCGTATCTTTCAGTGAAGCACGGTTCTGTGATCAGCAGTAAATCAACATCGGAAGGCCAGAGAAACTCCAAATAACACCCCGCAGAAGAAACCCAGGAAAACCCTATAGCGCTAGCTGAATAAACAGAAGATTTAACTGCTTTCATTGATTCAACGTGACTAATAAACACACGACTACGACAATATATGGTTTATCTGAGTTCTTACTATAATTTTCATTATAATAAAGTATATAATATTGCAATGCTTAGAATACTATGAAATATTGCGTGCCTTAATTATTCTGTTTAAGAAGCCACATCATCTGACAGAAGGATTTTAAAAACAAGTTATTAAATTTCGTATTTTCACATGCTTTCAGATGGAGCAGCATTTACTGCACAGAGCTGAAGTTCACTGAGAAGCTACGCAAACAGCTGTCATTATCGCAAACGATTTCTTCGATTTC